AGATTCAGTGACTGGTTTCCTATCATTTTATTATTTCATGTGTGCACATAAGTGTGCGTGTGTATGTGTGGCAAGTCCTGGTATCTATGATCTTTTCTCAGATACTCTACTCCCTTATGCTTAGCTTTTTAAAAAACTTTTGTTTTGTATCGGAGTATAGTTGATTAACAATGTTGTGATAGTTTCAGGTGCAGAGCAAAGGAACGCACGTTTAGCTTTCTTATTTCTATCCTTGTGGGATCATCTTTCAGGGAAGTGTCTGAGGTTGTTGGGATGGCAGAGCAGAGCATACTCTGTGTTCTCCCATGAAGAAGGGCAGGGTGACTGAGGGCTGCTTCTCAAATGGTGACTTGCCACAGGTGCCAATACCTTAAGGTCTCCGCTATTTGTGATGGTAAGCGTTAATTACAATAGCCACCATTTGTATGCCTTTATAATGCAAAATTCCTTATTTTACATGTATCCTCTCACATAATCCTTACAACAACCTTATAAATAAAACATTATAATCATTCCCGTTTTACAGATTATAAAATTGAGGCTTAGTAGGCTTCCCTGGTGGCTCAGAAGGTAAAGAATCTGCCTGCAATGCAGAAGTCCTGGGTTTGATCCCTGGGTTGGGAAGATCCCCTGGAGGAGGGCATGGCAACCCACTCCAATATTCTTGCCTGGAGAATCCCGTGGACAGAGGACCCTGGTGAGCTACAGTCCATGGGGTTGCAAAGAATCAGACTCGACTGAGCGACTAAGCACAGCACAAGAGCAAGATTAAGTCACCTACCCAGGTGACACAAATAGTAAGTGGTTGGGGCAACATTCAGTCCTAGACAATGTGACTGCAAGCTTTGAGTTCCGAATCATCCCAAACAGTCTCCCTTCTAAGGTTCTGCCTGAACTTGTTATCTGCTTATATCCAACTTCTCCAAATGGAATAATCCTTTTTAAGAAGTATTTTAGAGAGGGTGGACAATGTTGGTAATAAGAACTTGTGACTCCTATATCACCCAACACTCTTCTCTATACACCTAAATATTCTTAATTTCCATTTTCCTACAATGGTGCCATACGCTACTCTTATGCCTTCATGACTTACACTCACACAAGCAAAACTCATTTATTCTTCATACTGGTAAATTTGAAAAGTCGTTATTAATGAGCTTTATAGGTCATATGAAATGTAACTGGGCTACTTTTAGAATTTAGATGTTCCTAATCTATAGGAACTAGGAATAAAAAGAAGTTGAGGATTCCACAGTGACAAGAAATGCCTTCAACACTGCAGGAGGAAAGATCCTGCCCTGCAGTTAATCACGTGGTCAGGCTCACAACCCAGCTCTGCTAGGCACCACTTAGGGAAGTGACTTCACCTCTCTAGGCACCACTTTCTCAACTGTACACAGAGATGATAAGTTGATGCCCTTAAGATCTCCCTGACATTTTGAGATTATTTCAACCCTGTTCCTTTCCTGCTGAGGTCTTGAATTTCTTATGACCATCTTTCTGGGGTTTCTGTCAATGTTTTGAGTGGGTGTTCTGGCAGGAGTAGCTGAGATGTTTGAGAAGAATTATTAGACACCCTACAGGTTGGGTGAACCAAATGACCATGAGGTCATCCCTTCTTTCTCTGATGTAATTTTCAGAGGGTTGGTGGCTGCCATAGGAAAGGGGCTGGAGGTTACTGTTTACAGAGTCTTTGTTTCAGCAAAATCAACAACAAAGCACAGTTCCCATGGGTTTTGAGATCTGGAAATCCCTTTTTCACACACAGCCCTGTACTGGATATTTTAATGCAGGATTCCGGATCAGAAATGGATTCCCAAGTCCTGGCAGATGGTTCCAGAAACAGTGCTTACTGATCTGGTTTCAGTGAATTCTATTAAACACCCCCACCCTCATCTTGTGTGTTCAGTGGTTCTTTTCAAAATAGCCATCATGTGGGGTAAGAAAATTTACCAGTACTGAAGTACATAAATTTCAACGTGAGGATTTCAACCTGACTTCTTGGGTTTTGTAAAAGAAATATTTGCAATTTTGTGATTCTTTTCCCCTTCTAAGAGTGCTTACAAGTGGAGTCTAGAAAACGGGAAGTAGAAAAGCAGTGATCTTAGAATGTAGATGATAAAATGATTAGGGAGGGGACAAAGGAACAAGCAGAGAATTGGAAATAATGATTTCAAAAGAGGTGACGGTATGAGGTATGAAATTTATTACTTGAATGAAACCTAGTCAAAAGGAAAAAGATGGTAAAGAAAAACTCAGAGGCCTGGTCTCTGAGTCTCAACCAAAAGTGAAGGGAAGTGAAGTGAAAGTCACTAAGTCATGTCCATGACTCTTTGCGACCCCATGGACTATACAGTCCATGGAATTCTCCAGGCCAGAATACTAGAGTGGGTAGCTGTTCCCTTCTCCAGGTGATCTTCCCAACCCAGGGATTGAACCCAGGTCTCCCACACTGCAGGCAGATTCTTTACCAGCTGAGTCACAAGCGTTCCTAAAAGTATTTTTAGAAAGACTAACACCTATAAGTAACATATACACCTACACACACACACAGCCCCAAGTGAAGGTTATTATAAAAAAAATCATATGAAATTTTATCTACTCAGAGATGACATATCCTTTATTGGAGGATTTAAGGGAGGAATTTCAGCCAGATCTCAATATGAAGAACAGGTATGCTTCTCCCAAACATCTGTTTGATTTTTCTTACAAAGACTGTGAGTCCTGATTCCCTCTTTTTTATGGTCACTATCTCAGAACAAAATTTAGTCACTGTAAAGACAATATAGTATACATTTCTGTATGTTTTATTTTTTCCTATCCTGCTTTCCTTTTCCCTTTATATCTTCAATTACTTACACTTATTCTTATAAGCATCTACAAAATATTTTGTGGGAGGATGTAGATATATACAAATATACCTATGTATAGAGACAGGTAGATAGATGTAGATTAAGGAGCTAAGGGCTATAAGAGGCCTCTGTGCTTATTTGTAGATGGTCCTCTCTCTATTTATATATGGTGGCACCAATATCAGCAAAAATTAGTGAGAAACTTTCAAATAATCTTTGACTCACAACCAACTTAAAAAGAACAATCGGTAGCAGCTACTTGTGAAATTTGAGCTTTAGGGATGTGACATTGTGATAAGGGCAGTATTGGTTCATCTTTGAGCACCTGGATCCCGTATGGGGGAATGAGCTAGGAGATGAGGTTTGGAAAAAAGCTCAAAGGCTTTGGAAAAACTGGGTATATAGTTTCATCTCTTTAATAACAATACTTGGGATTCAGGCACAAGGTGTTCATTTCTGTGTTCACAACTGATCCTGAGGATCCAGCACTACAATTCCAAAGGAATTATTTTCCAGAAACACTGTCTCTTCCCAATGTAGGCTCATGCACACACAGTCATCCAGCAAAGACTTTGCAAAACAAACAGCAATGTTTTACAAGGACTGGGAGACAACTGCCAGGTATGACTCATGAGCATGCCACACAAACAGAACCTTTTGTGGCCAAGATGTCAAAGCCAGCAGATGTTCTGCTTTTGGGTCATGCTCAAGGATTCTTTGAGGTGGACCAGACTCCGCTTTGAGTTGGGCATGACCATGAGTAAATGGCCTTGAAGAGATGCAATGGCTACCCTAAGACCATTGATTTCTGAACTTCTCATTTGGTCTTGGGTTAAGCAAGCATGTCATGGGTAGATTGCAATGCTTGTCAATAAACAGTAATCGGAATAGCCAGGCAATCACAATGCTGCAGATGCCACCTGAAAGTGATATCTTGGAAGCACTGCAATGCTTGTCAATCAGTGATGAGCTGCCTTAGAATCAGAAGTTGCGGGGAGCTGCAACAGTGCTGATTTCTGGATATGACTGACACCAATCCTACTGCTGCTGCTGCTACTAAGTCACTTCAGTCATGTCCAACTCTGTGCAACCCCATAGACGGCAGCCCACCAGGCTCCCCCGTCTCTGGGATTCTCCAGGTAAGAAGACTGGAGTGGGTTGCGATTTCCTTCTCCAATGCATGAAAGTGAAAAGTGAAAGTGAAGTCGCTCAGTCGTATCTGACTCTTAGAGACCCCATGGACTGCAGCCTACCAGGCTTCTCTGTCCATGGGATTTTCCAGGCAAGAGTACTGGAGTGGGTTGCCATTGTCTTCTCTGTTAATCCTACTAAATCAGTATATTTGATTTAAAAATGTTAATATTTGCCCCATGACTTACCCAGTAACTAATAAACCCTTTTTTAAAAATTAGTTTTTTAATTGAAGTATAGGGGCTTCCCAGGTGACACAATGGTAAAATTAGCCTGCCAGGGCAAGAATTACAGGAGATGTCAGTTCAATCCCTGGGTCGGGAAGATCCCCTGCAGGAGAAAATGCAGCCTACTCCAGTATTTCTGCCTGGAAAATTCCATGAACAGAGAAGCCTGGTGGGCTACAGTCCATGGGGTTGCAAAGAGTCAGACACAAGTGAGCAACTAACACACATACACAAACACATCAAAGTATAGTTGATTTATAATGTATACTCTGGATACTATTGGAGAAAGGAATGGCAACCCACTCCAGTATTCTTGCCTGGGAAATTCCATGGACAGTGGAGCCTGGTGGGCTACAGTCTGAAAGTGCAAGTGAAGTCGCTCAGTTGTGTGCGACTATCTGCGACCCCATGGACTGTAGCCTGCCAGGCTCCTCCGTCCAAGGCATTTTCCAGGCAAAAGTACTGGAGTGGGTTGCCATTTCCTTCTCCAGGGGATCTTCCTGACCTAGGGATCGAATCCGGTCTCCCGCATTGCAGGCAGATGCTTTAGCATCTGAGCCACCAGGGAAGCCGGGCTACAGTCTATGGGGCTGCAAAGAATTGCACACGACTGAGCAACTAACACATACATGGATGCTATTTACAACTGAAACCAAATTGGAGCAGGAAAAAGAAGAAACGAGAATCCCAATTTTTAAATCCCATGTAAAACATCCCATGTAAAACTCACTGCCATCGGGCTTTATCCTTCAGGGAATTTTTCCTTGAGCTGTTCCCATCACTGGGGCTGTCCTCCTCCTCTGTCTCCAGACTTCGACTGCAGCTCCTGATGATCTGAAAGATGCTGTTGACAGTGGACTCCTTTTCTGAATTCTTTAAGCCATTCTGTCCCACTCGTTGTAAGAAATTATCTTGTCCACTATAATCGGCTACAAACTACAGAGAAATATATTGAGGATTTGTTATCACAGCTTCACATACTACATCTCAATAACCTACTTGGCTAGAGAAACGAAATCATAACAATCATAAATAACGGCATTTGTGCCTATTTTATTGGGGGGAAAACCAACCTCCAGGAAAAACATTTTTTCCTTTCACCACATGAAATACCAAAACTTACTCTTGTTTCCACTAAGACAACTTCAGTCCCTCTAGGAATCAACACTCCACTTCAAGTTTATAACACAAAAAGCAATATTATTTCAAGGTTCCCTAGGGAGAAGATTAGCCACTTTACAGAGGAAGGATAGAGTTATTTTATTCCTGTAGTGAGAATTGAGAAAAACCATGACAGAAATCTATTATTCTATGGAACCAGATAAAATTACTGGGGCCCAAGGAAATGATCAAGGGAGGGGGACATTTTGCTTTATTTCCCATGTATCTTAACAGTAACACAGAGGCTTCCTGGTGATTTATAAGCTCTTATTGTCTGTATTTGTAATCAGGGAAGTATCTCCCATCAGAGGTCAGAGGGATGGCTAGGCCATGAGATATGGAGTTCCCTACTGCTGAGATGTGAGGGAGCCGGTTCGGGTACAGCTTGGGGGGCTTGCTTTAAGCTTTCTCCTTCATTTCGTGCACTTTTTTTTGTTGTTGTTATTTAGTCATTAAGTTGTGTCTGACTCTTTGACTCATGGGCTGTAGCCTGCCAGGCTCTTCTGTTCATGGGATTTTTTCAGGCAAGAACATTGGAGTGGGTAGCTACTTCCTCCTCCAGGGGATCTTCCCAACCCAGGGGTTGAATTTGCGTCTCCTGCACTGCAGGCAGATTCTTTACTGCTGAACCACTGGGGAAGTATCTTCTTGCACTTTATGCCCCCTTTCACAAGTCAGGGAGATAGAAGCCAGTAATGCTGCCAGCACCTGTCAGGGGCTCTAAGTCTCCCTGATACCAGGTAATTCTTTTGCTCCCAGGGGACCTGGAAGAGGCTGCGGTTTTAGGAGAGTCTTCCCACTGTTACCAAGAAGGGGTGTGAATAAGGGTGAGAAAGAGAGAGAGAGAGAGAAGGAGAGAGGGGGAGAGTGTGTGTGTGTAAGGTCAACAGTGCGTGCTGGCACCATGGTGAGAATGACTCTAGATTTAGGTATGGGACTTCTGGGCATGGGACTCCTCAAATTTCTCCGTAAAGTCCCCCACCTTTCAATCCCTTCTTTCATTTCTAAACACCATATAGAGAGGTATCTGTATATTCTGTTTCTCAGTGCCTTTTCTCTGCACTGCCCAATACTCTGAGTCCAAGCTCATGTGGTTCTTCCTGTGCTGGGGGTTGGGAATGAGCACCAATGGGCTGCGGACAGCAAGATCAGGAGCCCAGAGCACATCCTCAGAGGACACGCCAAATTCCCAGAGTGGAGGAAAAGAAGGCAGCACTGACTTCCCCTCATCCTTTCTTCCACTGACCCCAAAAAGTTACTACTCTCATCTGACTTCTTATATCCCCTTCACCCATTTGCACCTAACAAGAGAGGAAAATCCCATCAACCTTAAGAAAAAACACCCAGAAAAACAGCACCATTTGTACATTGCCCCATTAAAGCTAACTTAATATAAAGCTCCAACAGTGCTAGTTGGCCTTCTTTTCTTTGGAATGTTCAAGGATCTAGTGAAAGTTAAACTGTCAGCTGCTCAGTCATGTCTGACTCTTTGTGACCCCATGGGTTGTAGCCTGCCAGGCTCCTGTCCATGAAATTCTCCAGACAACAATACTAGAGTGGGCTGCCATTCCCTTCTCTAGGGGATCTTCCCGATCTAGGAATCGAACCCAGGTCTCCTGCATTGCAGGCAGATTCTTTACCATCTGAGCCACCAGGGAAGCCCCCAAGGATCTAACTGTTGGTCAGCACAACGGTGACAATGGACAGCCCCAGGCTCAGAGGTGTCTCTCTTCTGGCTTCGGTGCGTGACAAGCCAGGAGGCAGCAACGACTCTCCAGATGATGAGAGTTTTGAAAGGTCTCACCTCTAAAGTTTCTTCCTGTGAATTGTACCTCGGGCAAAGCTTCATGAGGCCGGAGGCCCCGTCCAGCACCTCACAGAGCTCCTTCAGGAACACCCCGCAGAACGGAACCACCTTGCAGCCGGGGATGTGCAGCGCCCGCGTCACCACCTTCCTATATTCACAGGAAGACTCGTGCTGGGCCATGGCGTCCTTCAGGCTCCTCATGGTCTCCAGGTCAGACTGGTCCATGAACTGCCACATTTTTAAAACTTTCCGTGACCTACGGCAAGCCAGGGACATTGTCTTTAGACCAAAGGAGAAATAATATCGTTTACAGTAGACAGCTTAAATTCTGTACGAAATTCATTTGCTTATGTTTTCTTTCTGTTTTAATATTTATTGAGGATTCACATTGCCACCTACTTCCCCAAATGATGTGAATATTACTTTAACAAATTGAAACACGAAATTAAACAGAGATATATACAAAAACACACGTTGGGGGGAGTTAATTTTGGAAGGTGGGCACTGAACCTTGAGTTTTTCTGGTTTCCCAAAAGGGAAATCTGATGGGCAATATGGTTTTTACAAATATTCATGGAGGATCACTCACAGAAAATGTGTTCCATTTACTCCTCTTGATCTTTTAAACATAACTGGATGAGGCCAGTCCTGCAGTAATGCCCACAAAGCCTGTTTTGGCCTCTTCTATTAAACTGCTTCAACTGACATTAAGTCACTGGCCTGTCTTGAGGGATCTTATCTTAAAGTAGCATTTGCAGAACAGGATGTTAAATGAGAGTCTTCCTATGTTTAAATTGCTGCTAAGAATAACAGCTGACATTGAACTCCATCTTCTAAAGTAAGGCAGCGTGTTGTCACCAGGAGACTCAAAGTGTTCTCCCGCAGAGGTCTCCCACCCTCCATCAGCAGAGAGCTGGGTCTGAGCAGCTAAGCAGGGACTTCTTTGCAGAGGGCTGTCAGGACATGGTAAGTGAGAAGGAGGATATCTCCCCAAGTTCAGGGGCTTCGGGGAACTTCATGGAGAGGCTGGCCCATGTCCTGGCAGCTTGTTGATCACGTGGGCTGCCTGGTGTGTGACTTCCTGGAAAAGTGTAAGGACGAGAGGCTGCCTGGGGCCACGGGATGGCTATGTGAAGGAGAAGGATCCGGTGGGCGTGCTTTGCGTCTACAGAGCCTGGGTGGGCAAAGTGGTGGGGTTTTCTGTGAGTCTGGAATGGATCCTGAGAGGCAGCAGGGCTTGAGTTATCTTGAAAGGCTTCCCTCCAAATAAGGGGGCCCTAGTGGAAAGAGTCTGGAAGGGTAGGCCTTCCAGAACTAGATGCTGTGGGGGAGGACTGAGTGGTGGGCCAGGCTGGGGGTGTACCACCCCTCTCCAGGTGATGGTACAGGGGGTTGCTTCCAGACGGGAACTAGGGTGAGTTAGGGCAGGTAAGTAGGAAGTGACCCTGAAAACACCCCACATGGCTCTCTGTGGGGTCACCAAGGCTGGACCACAGCGGCCCCAGTCAAGTTAGACTGGCTCCCTTTACCCCTCCTCCCTTCTTCTGTCCTGCCCATGTTTTCTGCAGGAACTCTGAGCTGGAGACAGAGGGAGAGAAAAGATAAATTATATCTTCCCACCTACTGTAGCTTTTTTTCTTTTTTCTTTTTTACTGCAGCTTTCTGAGACTGGTAGGGCTGTGAAATTGGGGAAAAGGTGAAGCTTTTCTTCTTTTTTTTTTTCTTCCCAGGTGGCACTAGTGGTAAAGAACCTTCCCAGGTGGCGCTAGTGGTAAAGAACCAACCTTCCTGCCAGTGCAGGAGACATCAGAGACACAGGTTTGATCCCTGGGTTGGGAAGATCCCCTGGAGGAGGGCATGACAATCCACTCCAGTATTCTTGCCTGGAGAATCTCATGGACAGAGGAGCCTGGCAGGATATAGTCCATGGGGTCACAAAGAGTCAGACACAACTGAAGCGACTTAGCAGCAGCAGCAGTGTGACATACAGGATCTCAGTTTCCTGACCAGGGATTGAACCCATGTCCCATGCAGTAGAGTGTGGAGTGTTAACCACTGGGCCATCAGAGAAGTCCCTTTACTCCTTTTATTGAAGTTTTAAATGAAAACTTGAAGCTCTGATTTATACCAGACTGAATTAAAAAATCATTAGGTAATATCTAAGACATCCAAAAGACATCAAGAAGTACAACATGACAAATACTCATGCATCAACCTCTCAGTTTAAAAAATTAAAGCATTCATAATATGGCTGAGGCCCCAGAGAACTCCTCTGTGAACAAACCCCCCTCCCTTCCTCACAAGGGACCACGACTGCAATTTTACTGCACTCCTCCCCTGACAATTCCTCATACTTTCTCAACTCGGGTAGATATTGCTAAGCAGTTTGTACAACTGTTTGTGCATTTTTAAACTTTATACAAATGGTGTCACGCTGTAGGCGACCTGCTTTTATGGCACTGCCATATGATTCTGGGGTTCACTAGCGCTCGAGGGCATAGGTGAAGGAGATGGCTTATTAACCACACAAGTGACGGGGAAAGACACAGGGGGCCCAAGGTACATTCCAGAGTTCAGGGGAAGAAGAGCCAATTGGCAGGTTTGAAAGACAGTGAGGTCAGAAAAATAAAACTGTCTCCTGATTTCCCCTCACTGGGTTCAACTTGTCCTACAACCAGTTCCTTATAAGGTGGGGAGAATTCATTTGGGGGCATGGAATGGAGGTTTAAATAAATGAAGTGAGCACATGAATGAGACTTGGTTCTCATTATCTGATCATCCTTTTTTTCATGAGTCATGATATGTGGGTGGGGCAAGAGACAAATCTTAGCAAATAGCAATGGTTTTTTGTTAGACTGAGGACTGACACTTTTTAAAAAGAAACTTTATTTCTTTTCATGATTAAAAAGGTATGCCCATTGTAGACAATCTCAAAAATACCTAAAATATAGAAAATTCACTCACAGTTCTTCCAACCACAGAAAACAGTAGGTATATTTCCTTCCAGTACTTATCCTATTTGTGTCCGTCTGGTCTAAATATTTTATACATTTTGTTGTATAAATATTGCTGAGGTTATTAAGTATGGACAGCTTTGTTCCCAGATAGTTTTATATATTGTATGTTACTTGATGTCCTATGATATTAAAATTATTATAAACATTGTTTTTAGTGATTAAATAATATTCCATTGTGTGGATGCATCATGTTATTTCCTTCATTTTGCTGTTATTGTTCATTTGGTTTATTTTATTTTGTTATTTTAAAACCAAGGTGTCATTGACATTTGGGTTATTTTATATTGACATTAAAATTGAGTAAATATTGATGCATGTAAATCTTTGTACTTCTACTCATTTCCTGTAAACAGCTGAGAATTTAGTTTGAGAAAGCAAAATGTACAAAGGTGACAGAAAAGTTGTCACTTAACAATTAGATTGTGCCCCCTTCCCCTCTAATTGTTTTAAAAATGAAAAAAATCAGTTATCTTGATGCAGTTCAATTACTTGTAATCTAAATGCTTTCAAACTTGAAAGTGCACATGTGAGCTCTTCCTCCATTATCATTCCATCATAAGGACATCCAGCAACTTACCTCCTGTATCTACTGTTCTGGCTGAAGAACTATTAAACCTGGTAGTTTTACCCATTTATTTGTAAAGACTAATTCAGCCTTAAGCCAAATATAGGAGTGTGAAACTAGGTAGCAGTGGGTCTGGGGTGGCCAGGAATCAATGGTAAGGTTTAGCTGCTTTGACATTATTTCTCATCTCAGAAAGAATTACCTGGCTCTATAGACTTCCCTTGTGGCTCAGCTGGTAAAGAATCTGCCTGCAAGGCAGGAGACCTGGGTTCAATCCCTGCATTGGGAAGATCTCCTGGAGAAGGGAAAGTCTACCTACTCTAGTATTTTGGCATTGAGAATTCCATGGACTATAGCTCATGGGGTTGCAAAGAGTCAGACAATTGACTGAGCAACTTTCACTTTCACATGGACTTCTTGGATTTTGAATTCAAATTAAGTTGGGTCTAAAAGTCACATTTCCCCAAGGCCTCCATTGGGCATTATGAGGCTATGCTTTGCATCAAGGGACTCTCTAATACATAGTACGTGGCAGCCAACCTACAAGGTGGCCTCCAAAGAGCCACACTTCCTGCTGCGGTGTGGTCCCCACTCACAGTGAGCCAGGGCTGGTCTTCATGATCAGTACAACATGGCAGAAGTGGACAGTGTGTGACTCCTGAGGCCAGGACATAAAAAGCACCGCAGCTTCTGCCTTGCTCTTTCCATTTATTTATTTATCTATTTATTTATTTTGGCAGCATGGGGTCTTTGTTGCTGTGTGCAGCTTTCTCTAGTTGTGGCAAGCGGAGGCTACTCCCTAGTTGTGATGTGCAGGCTTCTCATTGCAGTGGTTTGTCTTGTTGCAGAGCACAGGCTCTAGGCAATGGGTTTCAGTAATTGGGGCTCAGGGGTTCAGTAGTTGTGGTGCCCGGGCTCCAGAGTACAAGGGTTCAACAGATGTGGTGCACAGGCTCAGTTGCCCACTGGCATGCAGGATCTTAGTTCCCAGACCAAGGATCAAACCCATGTCCCCTGCCTTGGCAGGCAGGTTCTTAACCCCTGGACCATGAGGGAAGTCCCTGCCTTGTTCTTTTGGATTGTTCACTTTGGAGGGAGCCAGCTGCCATGCTGTGAGGATGGTGACATCCATAAGAGAGGAAGCGAGGTCCCCAGACAACAGTCAGCACCAGTTTGCTAGTCAAACACGGATCAGCACCATTGTATGTGTGTCCTTAGCTGCTCAGTCATGTCCGACTCTTTGCAACCCTAGCCCACCAGGAGGTCTGTAGTCTACCAGGTTCTTTCATCCATGGGATTTTCCCACTGGAGTGGGTTGTCATCTCCTCTTCCAGGGGATCTTCCACACCCGGGGATCTCTTGCATCTCCTGCATTGCAGGTGGATTCTTTACCGCTGAGCCACCAGGGAAGCCCAAGCACCATTAAAACAGGACTATTTTATCATAATATGATCTCTATTTTTTTACAGGAAAATAATGCAGGGACTTCCCTGGTGGTCCAGCAGTTAAGAATCTGCCTTCCAATGCAGAGGATGTGGGTTTGATCCCTGCTTGGGCAACTAAGATTCCACATACTGTGGGGCAACTAAGCCTCCATATTGCAACTAGAGAGAAGCCAGCAAACCACAAGGAAAGATCCTGCATGCTACAACTAAGATCTTGTGCAGCCAAATAAATAAATAAATATTAAAAAAGAAAAGTAGCACAGATTCTTTGTAGAAAATTTATCACAAAGAGAATCAAATCATCTGGATATAGCCTTTTCTTCACCCAGTACTTTTCTATTTTTCCTTCTTTCAAGCCATGCTTAGTGCATTTGTATGACCATTTTAAATGCCAACGACATGATCATGTGAGTTTATTCTTAGTTGAGAAAGTTCAAAAGGACGAAAAAATTTCCAACTAAGAATTTTCCTCTCCACCCCCAATCCTGAACCCCTATGTCAGGCCTGGAGAATCAAAGAAAAACCTTGAAATGTTATGAAGCAAGATCTATTTATAGATCTTCGTTGGGAAGACAAATCTTAGACAACAACAACAACAGCAATGACAAGTTCTCTTCTTGAGCCTTACTACATGCCAGACACACATACTCAACACTTTACATTGTCTCATTAAATCCTATGCAAAGGGGTAGGTGCTTTTTATTATTGCCGCCATTTGCAGATGAAGAAACTGAAGCTCAATGAGGTCAAGTAACTAGATTACACAGCTGTTCCACAGGGGAGCCAGGATTTGATTCCCTGTTATTCTAATTCCACCATTTATCCTCTTCTTCCTCATACCACACTGCCACCCACAAGAGAGAGGAACAGCTATTTTAGCAAGGTAACTGATGCTTAAAGGGAATACAGCTGGAGGCTTTAATGACAGAATGCTGATCTTATTATTAGCTTGACAGAGAAGGTGTAAGAGGAGGATATCACTGAAGTTAAGGGCACAGGCTCTGAAATCAAGGTGGCCTGCATTCACATCCTGGCCACACCAGGTGACCTTGTGTGAGTGATTTTATTTCTTCTTATCTTAGACGTTTCTTCTTTCATCCGGTATGGAAATAATAATCGTATCTACCTCAAAAAATTGTTCCAACAATCGAAAGTTTTAATGCACAGAACATGCTTAGTTCAATTCTTGACATGTAGTAAATATTCAATAAAAATGACAGCTAAGATTATTCAGTGCTTATTATCAACATAAGCCACTGTTATTGGTGAGGGCAGTCAGTGGTTGGCAGCTTACAGTGCTAGGTAATTTGTAAGGTAGATCTGGGAAGAGATAGGTAACAGTGGGGCACACAGGCCAGGAAGGGGAAAAGGAGGTCAGTGATGGCGTTGAATGAGTTAAACAATCAGACACTCAGCCTGCCCAAGAGCAAGGGATCAGGGCAGACACAGTGGAGTAGGACCACGCCTGCTTAATTCTGTAGCACCTCTGAGGAACAGGGATTGTGGCACTAACAGAGGGTAATATATTTCCCCCAAAAAATCAGTACCAATTGCCTAGTTTGGGTAAATATGGTTACCCAGACAATTAGTTCAGTGCTATTCAGCTGTTAAGAGGAAACCCCAGATAACTATATTCCACTGTCCATACCTGAGGCCGGCCAAGAACTCCATGACGGCATTGTAGTTGCCCATGTTCCAACAGCATTTGGCCACATGAACCAAGTACGAGAAGACTTCCCGCTTCTCTTCCATGGAGCCTGCCGCGAGGATCAGCCACGTCACCCAGGAGCTCACCTGTAGAATGCAGAGAGGGGCATCCACTGAAACCAGGTCGGGGAAGCTTGACATATATTTTCTCATGAGAAAAATATTGTTGTTTTTAAGTCAGTTTAGTATTAGGAAATGAAGGACCCTGTCAAGAGACTGAATTGAAGCTCTAGCTCCATCACTATTTTGCAATGGGATTAACCTCTCTGTTAATCTTCTCACCTTTAAAATGAAGCTGAAAGGTAATTCCATAGGAAAACAAGGCCTAAAGGTAAGATGATTTAAATGTATTTGACTGATGGAGCAAGAATAAATGCAATCAATGCACTTAGCACATGAACAAAAGTCCATTTGTCAAAGAGTACAATGTATAATATTAAATGAAAAAACAAAAAACTTTTTGAACTATCTTACACAAATGCATTATCTATATATGCTCCTCAAATGACTAAATAATAGAACCAACATAGCACTTATGTTACTCTTCTAAGCACTTCATATATGTTAACGCATGGATCTCTTACAACAGTCCTGAGTCAGGAACCATAATTATGCTCATTTTATAGATGAAGAAACTGAAGGACAGAGGGCCTAAGAGACTTGCTCAAAGTTCCCAACCAATAGGTAGCAAAGCTGAAACTGAACTGAGCTGTGTGCCCCTGGTGGCTCAGAGGTAAAGAATCCGTCCTTAGCCAACCAGGGGATGCAGGAGACGCAGGTTACGGGAAGATCCCCTGAGGAAATGGTAGTCCACTCCAGTATTCTTGCCTGAAAAATCACACCGAGAGAGGAGCCTGGCAGGCTACAGTCTATGGGGTAGCAAAGGGTTGAACACAACTGAGCACGTACACATGAAAAATGAAATGTGTGTCCCTGAGGTGTTACTATTAACTACTCACTAAACACCTAATGTAGATACTGTTTTCCCTTAGGCTTAAATCTAGTCTAATGTGATTTGCCTTTCTACTATACAGACCAGAGTATCAGTTCAGTTCAGTTCAGTAGCTCTGAGTTTTTGCGACCCTATGGACTGCAGCACGCCAAGCTTCCCTGTCCTTCACCAACTCCCAGAGCTCACTCATACTTATGTCCATCCAGTCAGTGATGCCATCCAACCATTTCATCCTCTGTTGTCCCTTTCTCCTCCCGCCTTCAATTTTTCCCAGCATCAGAATCTTTTCCAATGAGTCAGTTCTTCGAATCAGGTGGCCAAAGTACTGGAGTTTCAGATTCAGCATCAGTCCTTCCAATGAATATTCAGGAATGATTTCATCTAGGATTGACTGGTTTGATCTCCTTGCAGTCCAAGAGACTCTCAAGAGTCTTCTCCAACAACAAAGTTCAAAGGAATCAATTCTTCTGCACTCAGCTCTCTTTAGAGTCTAACTCTTACATCCATGTACGACTACTGGAAAAACCATAGCTTTGACTAGATGGACATTTGTCTGCAAAGTAGTCTCTGCTTTTTAATATGCTGTCTAGGTTGGTCATAGCTTTTCTTCCAAGGAACAAGAGTCTTTTAATTTCATGGCTGCAATCACCATCTGCAGTGATTTTGGAGCCCAAGAAAATAAAGTCTCTCACTGCTTCCATTATTTCCCCATCTATTTGCCATGAAGTGATAGGACAAGATACCATGATCTTAGTTTTCTGAATGTTGAGCTTTAAGCCAACTTTTTAACTCTCCTCTTTCACTTTCATCAAGAGGCTCTTCAGTTCTTCTTCACTTTCTGCCATAAGGGTGGTGCCATCTGCATATCTGAGGTTATTAACATTTCTCCCAGCAATCTTGATTCCAGTTTGTGCTTCATCCAGCTCAGCCTTTCATATGATGGACTTTGCATATAAGTTAAATAAGCAAGGTGACAATATACAGCCTTGATGTACTCATTTCCTGAGTTGGAACCAGCCTATTGTTCCATGTCTAGTTCCAACTGTTGTTTTTTTGACCTGCATACAGATTTCTCAGGAGACAGGTAAGGTGGTCTGGTATTCCCATCTCTTTAAGAATTTTCCACAGTTTGTTGTGATCTGCACAGTCAAATGCTTTCGTGTAATCAATAAAGCAAAAGTAGATGTTTTTCTGGAACTCTCCTGCTTTTTCGATGATCCAACGGATGTTGGCAATTTGATCTCTGGTTCCTCTGCCTTTTCTAAACCCAGCTTGAACATCTGAAATGTCATGGTTCACGGACTGTTGAAGCCTGGCTTGGAGAATTTTGAGCATTACTTTGCTAGCATGTGAGCAATTGTACAGTAGTTAGAACATTCTTTGGTATTGCCTTTCTTTGGGATTGGAATGAAAACTGACCTTTTCTAGTCCTGTGGCCACTGTTGAGTTTTCCAAATTTGCTGGCATATCGAGTGCAGCACTTTCACAGCATTATCTTTTAGGATTTGAAATAGCTCTACTGGAATTCCATCACCTCCACTAGCTTTGTTCGTAGTGATGCTTCCTAAGGCCCTCTTGACATCACATTCCAGGAGGTCTGGCTCTAGGTGAGTGATCACACCATTGTGGTTATCTGGGTCATGAGGATGTTTTTCATACAGTTCTTCTGTGTATTCTTGCCACTTCTTTTCACATCTTCTGTTTCTGTTAGGTCCATACCATTTCTGTCCTTTATTGAGTCCATCTTTGCATGAAGTGTTCCCTTCAGTATCTCTAATTTTCTTGAAGAGATCTCTAGTCTTTCCCATTCTATTGTTTTCCTCTATTTCTTTGCACTGATCACTGAGGTAGGCTTTCTTATCTCTCATTGCTATTCTTGGGAACTCTGCATTCTCCTTTGCCTCTAACTTCTCCTCTTTTCTCAGCTATTTGTAAGACCTCCTCATACAACCACTTTGTCTTTTTGCACTTATTTTTCTTCGGGATGATCTTGATCACTGCCTCCTATACAATATCATGAACCTCCGTCCATAGTTCTTCAGGCACTCTGTCTATCAGATCTAATCCTTTGAATATATTTGTCACTTCTGCTGTATAATCATAAGGGATTTGATTTAGATCATACCTGAATGGTCTAGTGGTTTTCCCTACTTTCTTCAACTTAAGTCTGAATTTGGCAATAAGGAGTTCATAATCTGAGCCACGGACAGCTCCTGGTCTTGTTTTTGCTGACTGTATAGAGCTTCTCCATCTTTGGCTGCAAAGAATATAATCAATCCAATTTCAGTATTGACCATTTGGTGATGTCCATGTGTAGAGTCTTCTCTTGTGTTGTTGGAAGAGGGTATTTGCTATGACCAGTGCAACTGGAGTATAATACTTAATAATAATCTACTATTAAAGTCCCCGCTTTATGGTATACAGCCTCAAAATCCTTTGCTTAATCTCTAAGATTATTTTGCTGCAATCTATACTTTGGTGCCTTGATACTAATGTTCACTTAAGTTACTTTCTCCATCCTGCTTAAGGTCTGGGCTGATAAGTTCAGTTGTTAGTAGATCAAAGCCTTGGTCTTGACCTTGATCCCCCACCCCCACCCCTGCCATGGCCCACGAGTTTTACTTGGTTCAGCAACAGTGCTGAAACCTGGGGAGCAACTCATTTCTCTGGCTTGAGTGAGAGTGAAGCCTGAACAGAGAACGTTACAGAGGGATAAGTTCAAGGTCTAAGGGAACACTTCTCTGCCTCCTTTCCTCCAAATAAAATGAGAGGAATGAATGGCATTTAGTGCTGGCAGCAACCACAGAGGGCGGCCCAGCCTCTTTCTTCCAGATCAAGAATTCAAGGCTCGTGGGAGAAGTTGACTTGCCAACGTCACAATTCTTATGGATGTCAAAACTAGGACTCCCAGGCTGGTGTTTTTTCCTCTGATGAAAGGAAGCTAGTTTTGGTAAACTTGGCACCGGTAGGTCCTTCTAAGCACTCAATAAGAGATGCATACTTGAAGACAGAGATGGAATCAAAGGAGAAGGTACCAAGAAGAGTATTGAAACATGATTTAGAAAATGAAAAAAGCAGAACAGAAAAGATCAGTGCTGAACACACCTTTCCTTTCCCTATACACAAACAAGTAGGAGACAGCAACAGAGAGATTCCATGCTAGCACAGGGTTATAATCTGGTGCCAGTCAGGAGCACTGCAGTAATAATCTGTCTCTTCTTTTCTGAAATTGGCTGAAGCAAAAAGTGATGGGCCACCTTGTAGCCCTGAGCCCAGCCCCAGCCCAATGGGCTCTCAGCCAGCACCACCACTCTCCACCTGCTCGGACTTAGCTGAGCTCTCATGAGACGTCAGGGAAGAGATCTGGAATCAGACCCCTGGGATGATCCAGAGTCCAGACCATCCTGCAAAGAATGAAGATCCTCTTGGGAAACAGATAACCTTTCGTTTGGTCTCCTGGGACTCCTCTGGGAGCCCCAGGAGACCTCTGGGATTCCCAGAGCCAACCCCTCTCCTGCAGCTGTGAGCAATCCCTGGCTCACTGCTTCTCGGCCTTGTCCCTTCACCTGCTTACCCAGTTACCAGTCACTTTTGTGGAACTCTGGCTCTCTAGACCAAGCCATTATATTGCCAATAGAGACTGAGTGTTGTTAAAGTTTTCAGCCAATTCTTCTGTTGGTGCGATCAGCTTTTGATAAGCCCTATCCACCTGATGTGAAGAGCTGACTCAAAGACCCTGATGCTGGGAAAGATTGCAGCCAGGAGGAGAAGGGGGTGACAGAGGATGAGATGGTTGGATGGCATCATCAACGCAAAGGATGTGAGTTTGAGCAAACTCTGGGAGATAGTGAAGTTCAGGGAAGCCTGGCGTGATGCAGACCATGAGGTCAAAAAGAGTTGGACATGACTGAGTGACTGAGCAACATCAATCCTGCCAAAAGAAGTCATCAGAAAACACTCAGAATCACAACATCACTGACTCTTTGAGCTAGACATTTGAAACCATCTCCTTAAAATAAAGATGAAATACTTAAAAATTTAAAGTTGTTCTTCAAAGACACCCAACGTATTAATTCTTGAGGCCTCTGGCTATATTTTTTGTATGGCTTTAGCTCCTTAGCTGTTGAAATG